ATCTTTATAATCGATTATGAAATTAAAAGCTTGTTAATTAAGAATATTCGTATGTATTTAATACCTACATCTATACAAAAATTTTTCAGATTCAATTGCAACTACGACTCCGCAATATTTTTAATGAACGACATATACATATATTGAGGATGTCAGAATAAAGTTTGGATAGCACTGTATGTAAATGCTACGAAAATGTCGAATAAAATCTGAAAGAAAATATTTTAAAAAGACTAAATTTACCCCAATTATCGTTATTTTAATCTAATTAGTCTGATTACGCATACTCGAGATACTTGATCTAAATTTGCACGATTCTATTATTCGAAACAATGATGCGAAGCATGTCGAAGTTCATTGCGAACTACGCGTGTACCGACACTACAGATATTCCTGTTTATAATGTAAAGCGCACGTTTCTGTCATCAGGAATATTACAGGATATTTTATTGACAGACCCGAGACGAGCAGATTTCATCGACGATATTAATATCTGTCAGTCAATAAAAATAGGATGTATAGAAAAAAGAATTATATACAAAAGAGAAATCTCTCCCTCCCTCTCTATATAGAAATAAATTTGCGATAATAACTCGTGGATAAATCGATAGCTCAAAATACTTAAATAAAACGACATGACATTTAATAATAATATGCAATGAGTGTCTATGGTTCCTTAATACAAGGCGTATTTATGTAATTTCCCTCTAATCCCTTATAAACTCAATCTTCGATGAATACTAAACACACTCAATTAAAACTCGTCTCTCCAAGAAACTTTGGTAAATTGACTAAAAGTGAACACTCACCGTCAACCCCGCCGTTGCCAATCCCGTCGCTCGCCGTGCTTCCTGAATTAAAGAGGTCATCTGGAACAGAACAGGAGTTCGTCAACATTAAAACAGTCGAAGAAGATGCGACGACACGACGCGACGTGTACCCTCGCGGAATATACCTGACGTGAATCAATCAAATCACTACTTTTCCTGTGCTTCATAACGCGCTTCATTAAATTTCGTAACAAGGTGATCAGAGTAGGTAAATTATGAACATGGGAATTAAAAGCACATTTCTCTTCCAGGTTTTTATCTCCTAAATTATTTCTTGCCCAACAATAAGTAATACGAAACAATATTTCATAATAAGCTTCTAAATACATTTGCTTTATGCTTTGATTACTGTAGTAAACGAGTGGAGTTACGGATTTTAAAGTGCTGTGGTGATATTATAGTATTCAGGATATATTGCCAGATTGGATATATGGAATGGTTACATAAAGCGAGCACAAACACGATATATTGATGCGGCCATATGTACACAGATATATTACAGATTATGAGTTTACTCGCACTTGAGCAATCCGATACTTCACCTATCCGGAGACATTCATTATGCAAATACTTGAATGGATTAGCGAACGGCTAATGTGGTACGTAAATTTTGGGCAACATCGACGGGGATCCTAAACAAACGTAAAGTTATCCGGAAGTATCGACCGCGAAATCCTATAGTTAATATCCCACGCGGACCGACCATCGTGGTATTTGCTATTAATGGGTACATATTATGTTGGTGCGTAGGAAACGTCGTTTGTTTCAGAGGTTTACATTTTCATAAATCAATACCAACAAATTTTACAGTTAGACTACGGTTTATTATGCAAAATAAAACATTTATGGTATCATTTAAAACACATGTTCTCTTTTATCATTTGAAATAATATGAAGAAATATGCAGCTTTTGATATTCTGTATAACATTATACATTGCAGTCAACCTTTACAATTTCTGCACATTCTAATTTTCTATAAATGCACAAGAATCCGCAGTCTATTTATAATGCACAAATAAAAGACATTGCGTTATTTTTAATTAACGTTCCAGTGCAAATACATTTTAAATAATTGTGTACACATTCAATTTTGTACGTATTCATCGCGTTTACAATTGATATGAATCCTGCGGTATTATTTTTAATCATGATACAGATGAATTATTCTGATGCTAAATCACCAAGTTGTGAACTTTACTTTCTCTTGTTTTTATCAATAAATCTTCCACTGAAACATAATTTTTGTAGTATTATTGTGTAACAGAGTTAAAATAATTACTCAATTATATCAATATCGCAAAACACGTCGTTTTATTTGGCAGTTTTACAGACAGATGATCGAAGTCAATTATTTTCTGTATTCCTGTATTTTGAAGATTTGAAAGTTCGCGCGGACGCGCGACTAATCAGTAACTAATTAACATACGAGGGTGGTCGAATAGTCCAACAAGTAATAGAAGAATGTATTTAATTTATTTGGTAAAAATAATTATTGATCAATTATTCGAATCAAACACAAAATATACAAGACCATATGGAAGAGAACGCTATTTTATATGTACGAACCTAATATTTGTGGCCGTGTAACGAAGTAACAATGCTACTTTAACCAACAGTACCCTGAGCTACTATTCGATTCCCCTTAAAATTTACGTCACGAAATTATTCTTTCATTTCTATTTTACTGCGAACTTAAAAATGGCTACAAAGTCTATTTTATAGAGACATGCAGATGAACACTGCATCGATTTGTTATTAACCAAACAGCAAGTTCGATTGTACCACAATAGTATTCTATTCGGAGATAGCCTTTGTACAATAGTTTGTAGTTGCGGGAACTCGTACCAAACCGCGTCTTCGAAAGGGATTAAATTGAATCTTGCGATCAATAAACCGTTCGTGTAATGACCCAATTATGAAGTTATTGGCCGCTCGACTGTATAAAAGAAGGTATACCACTCCCCCTCCACCCATAAATTCACTGTAATTCTACGGTAATAGACAATTCCATCGGTCCCCTTCTTGTAATTGGCAATCAATCTCAAACTTAATCTATTTAAAAAAAAATATTGTGTGATAAAAAATAAAAAGTATTCATATTAAACAAGTGAAACAATGCGGCTGTTCGTTTCGTATTTATCAAAATCAAATAATATTTGATTATA